CAGCTCATAGCAACCTCAAACTCCTGGGTTAAAGCGATTCTCTTGCCTCAGCCTCCCAAGTAGCTGGGATTACAGGCATCTGCCACACGCCCGGCCATATTTTTTGATGCAGTTGTCATTGTTATTTAGCTGACCTGGGCCAGGTTCAAACCCACCACCCTTGGTGTATGTGGCTATTGCTGTAACCGTTGTGCTACGGGCGCTGAGCCAGGGATGGTGTTTTCTAATTCCTTCATTTTATAGAAGAGGAAACAAACCTGGAAAGGAAGAACATCTTACCTAGGGTTATGCAAAATCAGAGACAGAGTGGATTTGAACTTGGAATCCCATTGATTTGTCCAGAGTATTTTACACTGAACTGAGAGTAACAGTTCATCTGAGCTGGTTCTTCTTAGCAGGGAGTATGGTTCTTGTCGTAACACTCTGCTTAGCTCCTTCGTGTTCGTTGAAGTTGACCCTTTATATTTTGTGAATTAAGTGTAATATTAAACTTTGATAACATCTCATTCTTCTAGGTTGCCAGCATACTTTGTTGTCCCCACCCCTCTTTCTGAAGAGGATGTGCAACGATTTCAGGGTCATGGCATACCAGTAAGTGCGTCTGGAAACCCTAAGAGGTCTGGGTTGTTCAGTGGCCTATCCTGACAGTGGTTCTGCTGATGCTTTTGGCTTCAGCACTGAAAAATTTGTCCTCAGTCCAAGACAGATACAAAAATATCTTAGGGACTCCCTAGAGGAATCTCTTAAACATGACTGGGACAGCGTTTTTAAGGTTTTCAAGTTTTAAAGGTTGATTTCTAAGCAGAGATAGTTAAAAAGCTTGCTTTTGTTTTTTCTTTTGAGGCAGAGTCTCACTTTGTCACCTGGCTCAAGTACAGTGGCATTGTGTCACAGTGGCATTATCATAGCTTGGAGCAGCCTCAAACTCCTGGGCTCAAGAGCTCTGCCTGTTTAGCCTTCTGAGTAGCTGGGCCTTCAGGCAGCACTACCATGCCCACATCATTTTTTCTATTTTCAGTAGTGATGGGGTCTTAAATCACTCAGGCTTGTCTCAAAATCCCAACCTCAAGCTGTCCTCCCACTTTGGCCTCCCAGAGTGCTAGAATTACAGCCATGAGCCACAATGCCTGATTAATGTTTAAAAAGCTTTAAGAGGATCATAGATCTGTCTGGTGTTGAAAGGAAGCCTTCTTTGACTCGTGAATCATTTTAAACCAGAGCTGAACCACTCTAAGGGCAGTAGGCTTCAAGATTCTTTTTGGACCACACTATTAATCTGTGTGCGGGCATGGTTGTGTTTTCTCCCAGGAACAACAAGGAATGCTTCTTAGTTCTCAAGACTAGAGTGGGGTGGGAGCTATATTTAACACGTCACTAATCAAAGAGAGCAAAACTCTGGCAGTTGCTCCAGTTTCTAATTGGTGGTTGGAAATTGCCAAACCCACAGGGTATTTGGTAACGAATGAGAATTACAGATAAATGCTGTGCTGTACACATGGCTGGTTCACCAAAAGGGTCACTCCTGTATGGATGGAAAGATGATTAAGCAAGGGTCACATGCCCAGACAGAGTAGGTAATGAGTAAGTGTGACCCTTGTAGTGAACCAGAGGCACTCTGCCTGGTCTGACAATAGTTTTCAGCACTAGCCATTGTGTGCCACGTGGTCTGGGTGTTGGCAAGTGTCCGGATTTTTCAGGAGAAGCCAGAGATACAGATTTTTTAATGTGTTTTTTCCTGATTTATAAATATATGCAGCTGATTCAGATGTTTAAAAAACATGCCTTTGGGCTGGAGTTGACAAATATTCCATCACCTTGCAACCTTTGATTTAGAGTAGCAGTTCTCAATAGTGTATATGCAAGGGCAACTTGAGAATAATGCATATAGATATAAAATAGAGTAGCAATTCTCAAACTTTTTGGTCTCAGGACTCTTTATACTCTTAAAAATTATTGAGGATCTTAGAAAGGTTTTGTTTATGTGGGTTGTATTTACTGATATTTGGCTTATTAAAATTTCAAGTTGAGGCCAGGTAGGTTGGCTTATGGCTGTCTGTAATCCTAGCACTCTGCAAGGCCTAGGTGTGAGGTTCACTTGAGTTCAGGAATTTGAGACCAACCTGAACAAGAGCGAAACCCCATCTCTACTAAAAATAGAAAAATTAACCAGGTATTGTACCAAATGCCTGTTATCCTAGTTTGAACCCAGGAATTTGAGGTTGCAATGAACTATGATGGCATCACTATACTTTATCCAGGATGACAGAGTGGGGACTATGTCTCCAAATAAATAAAACAATGCCTTTTATCTTACTAATTTTTTTTTTTTTTTGCAGTTTTTGGCCGGGGCTGGGTTTGAACCCGCCACCTCCGGCATATGGGACCGGCGCCCTACTCCTTTGAGCTACAGGCGCTGCCCAATTATCTTACTCGTTTTTTGTGTGTAAAAAATGTTACTTGTATTAATGTGTAATTGGTTATTGTTTTAAAATAAATTATTTTCAAAGTTTCTCAGTTTTAATGTGATAAATACCAATAGCTATAACTCACATGAAGACAAGCTCTTCAGGGTTCTCAATAATTTTTCAGGAGTCTGAGAACAACAAGTGATTTGGGAACCATTAATCCGTGTGGGCACCGGGGGTGTAAGCTCAGATCAGCAGTCACAGTTCCTATGCAGCAGGAGCTAACACTGAAGAGATGGCTTAGAGCTAGATTAGGGAGCATCTTGGAATTTTTTTAAATTGTGGTAAAATACACATAACGTAAAATTTCCCCTTAATGACATTTAGTATATTCTCAATGTTGTGCAGCTGTTACTGTGCTCTCCTAGAACATCTGCACATCTCCCTGCTTTCTTACTGGCTTTCCACCCAGTCTGTTCTTCCCTGCCTTCACTTACTCCTTTTCAGCCAGGAACTACAGAATTTGTCAGTTCGGTCATGTCCTTGCTGCCATTCTGGAAAACTCTGTGCTCTTTGACTGTCTGCTGTTCTCCAACCCTGAGCATTTAGCTCTGGGGCTAATGAACATTGCTGTAGATTATTCAAGCCAAACTGCAGACCCCTGAGCAGTTTTTCGTCTAACTCCTTTGGTTCCTGTATCATCCTGTGCTCTTTTTTTTTTTTTTTTTTTGAGACGGAGCCTCAAGCTATCCATGGCATCACAGCTCACAACAACCTCCAACTCCTGGGCTCAAGCCAGTCTCCTGCCTCAGCCTCCCAAGTAGCTGGGACTACAGGCGCCGGCCACAGCGCCTGGCCATTTTTTGGTTGCAGCCATCATTGTTGTTTGGTGGGCCAGACTGGGGATTCAAACCCGCCACCTTAGGTGTATGTGGCTGGCGCCTTAGCCGCTTGAGCCACAGGCGCCGAGCCCATCCTGTGCTCTTGAAGTTTGTGGTATCATCTTAACTCTCAGTGGCGACCTTCCCCTGCCTCAGTGGGAACCAGGACAGGGATAAGAGCCCCCTCTGCTTCCACCTTCTTGGCCTCCTGTTGTTCCTCTCTCTGCCCCTGTTGTCTTCATGTAGCATCTGACCCTCTGTCTGGGTTCTGATTACTGTAGATCCCTGTCCTGCCAGCCTTCTCTCTTCCATGGTTACCTTTCTGCGGTATATTCTGTTTTTCTTGAAGACTTCCTTAGGTCTCCAGCTACTATCTTGTTCTCCTGCTCTGAACTGCCAAACATATTTAAAGAGTATGTATTTATTCTCTCTACTTGTTTTTGTTGTTGTTGTTTGTTTGTTTGTTTTGTTTTGCTTTTGTTTTGAGACAGAGTCTCAGTCTGTCACCGCGGGTAGAGTGCCCTGGCATCATAACTAACAGCAACCTCAAACTCTTGGGCTCCAGAGATCCTTTTACCTCAGCCTCCCAAGTAGCTGGAACTACAGGCACTGCTACCATGCTCAGTTAGTTTTTCTATTTCTGGTAGAAACAGGGCCTCACTCTTGCTCAGGCTGGTCTCAAAACTCCTGAGCTCAAGCAATCATCTTGCCTCAGCCTCCCAAAGTGTTAGGATTATAGGTGTGAGCCACTGCTTCCGGCCTACCCTCCCTCCCTCTCTTCCTTCCTTCCTTCCTCCCTTCCTTCCCTCCCTCCCTCACTCACTCACTTGGACTAGCGTGCAGTGGTATCATCATAACTCAACCTCAAACTCCTCACCTTAATCGATCCACCTGCCTTGATCTCCCAATGTGCTGGGATTATAGGCATGAGCCATGGCCCAGCCTTTACTCTTTTTCAGCAAAACTTCTATTCCCCTCACTGTCTGACATTTTCCTCCCAGAAATCATTGAGCCTCAGATCTCTGCAGTTTTTTTGTTTGTTTGTTTGTTTGTTTTTTGAGATGGAGCCTCAAGCTGTCCCCCTGGGTAGAGTGCCATGGCCTCACAGCTCACAGCAACCTCCAACTCCTGGGCTCAAGTGAGTCTCCTGCCTCAGCCTCCCAAGTAGCTGGGACTACAGGCGCCCGCCACAGCGCCGGCCACTTTTTGGTTGCAGCCATCATTGTTGTTTGGCGGGCCCGGGCTGGGGATTCGAACCCGCCACCTTAGGTGTATGTGGCTGGCGCCTTAGCTGATTGAGCCACAGGCGCCGAGCCTCTCTGCAGTTTTTGACACTGATTATAATCTCTTTGCATTTATCTTTTACTCTCAACTCCTGACTTGGTTCCTGTCCTCACTTAGACTACTTTCCAGCCTCGGACTATAGATATTTTCTAAAGCTGTTTTGACTCTATTAAGAGAGAGACCTTAAAATGCACCAAATAATGAGTAATCCCCCTTCTGGTATCTCTGTGGTCCTTTCCCTGAGAGAAATCTATTGCAAGAATGGAAGACTTTTTGCTAAATTCGTATGAGAATTCTCTCTCTGAGCAAGAATTATGTTTGTTTCTATTTATTATTTCAGACAGAGAATAGTAAGATGAGACAGTTGTGATTGGAAGTTAAACGTGCCGCAGGAGAAGAGTTCCAAAGTGTTAAGAATTCTTAATTTTCTTAGAACCCGTCATCCAGCCATGCATCCAGCCGTGGCTGGAGCATCTCCCCCTTTATCTGATTGAGAGGCACAACTGCTTGGGCGTTCAAAATATTGCCACCCTTGGAGTGGGCTCAAATCTGCAGTAGTTTTGGCACGTTGCTTAGCCTGGTGTTAGAAAGGGGAGTAAGGGAAAAGCAGAGGACCCTTTGATTTGTCCGCATTCTAATCCTTATGCCTCATTCTGAATCCTCAAGTCCAGCTTGACCCCAAGAAGGGAGTTCCTAAAGCAGTTTCGTGTCGTTACCTCCCATGTTCAGAGCTCCAGGCCTGCCTTCCTCTCCTAAGGTCATGACCCTCATTTTCAGGGGCCTCCACATGGATGTTCCATAACTCAATATACCCAGTGCAGTTCCATCATGTTCCCCAGGAACCCCAAGTGGTTCTTCTTTGTGACTTTCTAAGTGTAGCACAGACCATCCTATGCACTAGTTTGATCTTTAACTCTTGGCTCATGCTGCTGCTTGTTCATCCAGAGTGTGATTTGTGTGTAGCAAATGAATGACAAAAAGGTTCCCCCTCTGGGCAGCTGAATTACAAAGGGTTTTTTTTCTTTCCAGGTTTATTTACCTTTTGGGCCTAGGTTGATAGCTTGGTCAGCAAAGCAAAAGCTGGACCTTAGCCACTCTGGAATGCTTAGCCTGGCCTTCATGCAGGGCCTAAAGTCCATAGCTTGCTTACCTAACCAACCAGCCCTTCCTGCCCTCCAGTCTAGGCTCTGCTGGCAGATTACTTTGCCACAAGACCAATTCCAGTCTATTTTCATTCCTGCAAAATAAACAAATGGAAACTCCGATGGTGTCCAGAAAAATATCTAAACATCTTAACCTGTCGCCTAGGCAGAAAAAAGCCCAAATGCCCACTTAGCCTGTCACTCATGTGGTTTCTTTTTCCTTGCCCTCTTTTTGTATACCACATTCTACTTTCTAGGATATTTTTAAGCTTATACTTCTTTTAAGAGTTCAATCTCGGCTTGGGCGCCCGTTGCATAGTGGTTAGGGCACTAGCCACATACACCAAAGTTGGTAGGTTCAAACCCAGCTCAGGCCAGCTAAAACAACAATGACAACTGCAACAAAAAATAGCCAGACATTGTGGCAGGCGCCTGTAGTCCCAGCTACTTGGGAGGCTGAAGCAAGAGAATCACTTAAACCAGGTGTCCTCAAACTACCGCCTACGGGCCACATGTGGCCCGCCTAGGATATTTATCCGGCCTGCCAGGTGTTTTTGCTGCAGCTGCCTGTCCTGCTTAGCAGCCGACTTGTCCCAGGGCCTACAGTTTGGCCCTCTAACGGTCTAAGGGACAGTGAACTGGCCCCGTTTAAAAAGTTTGAGGACTCCTGATTTTAAGCCCAGGAGTTGGAGGTTGCTATGAGCTGTGATGGGCTACAGCACTCTACTAAGGACAACAAAGTGAGACTCTGTCTCAAAAAGAAAAAGTTTAATCTCTGAACAGTATTTTAGTCCCCTTTGCCTTCTCACAACCCAGTGTAGTGCCTTGAATATATGAGTCTGTGTTTACTGTAGGTCAAGTAGCCAGCTTTCCTTTCTTCTCCTGTGAATTTTCTCTGATGATGGTGCTGCCTCCTTTTTGCCATTCTGGTAGAGCGTGGCCTTTGGAGTCAGATCGCTGCTCCTTTCTGTACAACTGGGGGAAGTCCTTCCATCTCTTTGAGCCTCAGTTTCTTGCTGCCAGTGGGCATAATAATCATCTCTGTTACAGGGAATGGCCATGATAATTAATCAATTCACACAAAATGCCCAACTTGTAGTAAGCTGCACTCCAGTGATAGCTACTATCCTGTCATCATGTTGTCGTTATTATCATCTAGCTTGCCAGCATGGAAGCCAGGTCAAAGGGCATATGTTAGACCATAACATAGTCTGAGTTCAACTACCTAGACTTGTTTTTCTTTTAAGATTCAGTGTTTTTTGTTGTGAGTAAATATTCTCTGGCTTAACACATTTGAATCAATCCAGCCATTACATACTGAAGTTAGAAATTTCCCTGTATGGATTTAAGTGCTAAGCTCACCTGACCCTTGTTGGGTGTGTATTATGTCTGGAACATCTTTACTCCCCTCTGCAGATATGGTGTTGGTCCTGCCACAATGGAAGTGCCCTTTTGAAAATGTCAGCACTGCCCAGAGAACAGGATGATGGCATTTTACAAACCCAGAAGAGCTTCTTGGATGGGTCAGTACTAGTTTTATGTTTTGTTCTTTTTTAGTTCAGTTTTTTATTCCAAGAAGCAGGGGATATTCTTAGTAGTATGTCTATTTCTGTTTGCCTTCTGGTACCTTAGTGCTAGGGAAATGCAACGTATAGCAGTTGTTTTTAATTACGGGTTTTTGGTTTTTGTTTGTTTGTTTGTTTTTGAGACAGAGTCTCACTATGTTCTTTGGGTAGCGTGCCATAGCATCATAGCTCACAGCAACCTCCAACTCTGGGGCTGAAGCAATTCTCCTGCCTCAGCCTCCCAAGCAGCTGGGACTACAGGTACCAGCCACAACACCCGGCTATTTTTTTGTTGTATTTATCATTGTGGTTTGGCAGGCTCAA